GTATATTGACTAGGGTTGGAAATTGTGTTTAAATATAAACTCAGAGCTTTCATTAATAGAAATATTAATATTTAACCTTTGTGTTTTCTTTCTAATATTTTCTTCCTTCAAGAGAAATTATGCTTCGTGCTCTAGCCCCCCCCCCCAAAAAAAAAGTTGGTTTTGCTTCCAAATGTCAAAGAAAGAGAAATTAAAATAAGTTCAGCTACTTTTTTTTATTAATTTATAAGTTTGTGCACATGTTACCAATTCTACATTTTTGTGTAAAATTTGATATTATTTTAAAGTACAAAGATATATCTAAAAATGAATATTTTCTGTAGTTTAAGAGGTACAACTCTAGTCTGATGTTACACTTATATTGTACTGGTATTAAAGGCTCAAGTTAAATAGAGTGATTTGTTAAACTGTTATTTATGTTTTAATATTCTATTTACATATCAGGTTTTTGTTTAATGATGCTGAAGTGAAACCTTTTGACCCAGCTCACATCGCAGCTGAGTGCTTTGGTGGAGAAATGACGGTAAGAAAATATCTAATGGCAATACTGAGATTAACTTATAGATTAACCATTTTGTACCATAGAACCTATGGTATGATAACTGTTTACATGTATATGTGTCATGCCATAGAATCTACTACATATACTAACCTTCTTTCCTTATATCCACACACAGATGTGTTTACCTTGGTTACTCATATAATGTATCCCAGGGATATCCCAAGTTTTGTAGTTGTTATATGTTGTGTTTATCACATGAAAAAATTATTTTAGTACCATATATGTTAATTAGGATAACATGCTTACACAGAAGTTTTGTAATAAATCCTGAGGCTTCTCTAATATCCACTGCTTTACTTCTGCAACTGTGAATCAATGTTTAGCCATGATAAACTTGAAAATAATTAACCAGAATTAACTACATTTTCACTTTTTTAATATAAGAGTTTCCTTCTCTACCATTCCTGAAAAGTTAAAGCAGTGAATGTTGGATAAACCTCAAAATATATATAAAATAAGTTTTTAATATTGGATGCTTGTAAAGTGTGCACTGCATGTACATATATCAAAATGAACAAATTATGTAACCGAAAACAGTAGGCAAAAAATTTGTGGAAGCAGCTTTTGAATGCTGTTAAAATGTGAATGAATATAGTTCCACAAAAAAAAAGGATTCTACCATGAAGTCATAAACAGACTGTTTTAGTGGCTTTGAAACTGTGTAAGAAAATTTTTAACTTTCCAATAGAATAATGAAAAATACATAAATTTTTGCACAGAAAATAAACTTCTACCACAGTGAAGTTTTTGAAGGTGAAATATCAATGTTGTGAAACAAAGGAAATTAATTTTCACTGGTATTTGCAGACTAATTTATCTTGCATTGGTAAGTTTCAAAGATATAATATAATTATTTAGAAAAACTCTATATTAAAGTGACCATATTTTAAAAAGTTCTTGTAGACACTTATAAGTTAAACTTGGTATTTATGTGTATCTCAGTTTTGGGACATCACATTTCTTCATGGAACAGAAATGGGATTTTCATTCCCTTTCTCATAGTGAGATAGAAACCACATAAAGCATTCCTTTATTCACACCAATAACTTCCCACCAACTATAGTTGAAAAACTCTCCAACATTCCCCACAATAAAACTCAACTCATGAACAAAATTGACACTAACAAACCCAACAACAGTACATTACACTGCAGTTTACCTTTTGTTCCTGAAACCAGCTCAAGAATTATCTACACTTGGACAAAACTAGCCATTAAACACAATATTCCTGTCAAAGTTAAATTCTCACAAAAACCCGGCCCT